GATACCGCACTCTGTTCCATGCTTCCATGTTTCTGGATCCACTCCATTCATCAGTTTATTTCGTTAATTATAAATCTTTATTTTCAAAGGCCATGTGCTTGGAAAAGTCAGGGGTTCTACTAGCAAAGAAAGAAGGGGAAAATGGATACTGGGGACAACTAGAGGCTTAAACCACTGTGAATACTCTTCATCCAGATGTACATGAGGCTTACTCCCTCCTTTCAAGTCTCTACTCAGAGAACATATTATTGAGTTCTTCTCTGACCACCTAATATAATATAAAACAACTCTCCCCACCTTCCTCATCCTTCTTACCCTGCATTAGTTTTTGCCATAGCACTTACTACCATCCCATATGAATATTTAATTGCTTGCTGTCTGGTTCCCTGACTAGAAAAATAAGCTCCATGGTGGCAGATTCTGATTGCTGTCTGCTCTCTCCCCAGACCCCGTGCTGGGCACCACGAGTAGGTGATCAGAAAATATTTGTGGAATGAATGCATAAATGTATAGCAATCTTCATAAGTGAGAAAGGATAGATTTGAGTCAGATGCCTGGATTGAACACCTGACTCCACCACTTACTAGTTGTGGGATGTTTTACTGTTTCATTTTTTTGTAAAATGAAGATGATAACAGTATCTACCTGTAGGTTTGTTGTGAGACTAAATGAGTTAATGTGTATACAGTGCTCAGAACAGAGCCTGGTGGATGATAACCACTTGATGTAATGATACGTGTTAGCTATGTGTTTTTGTTGTTGTTCATGGCACTCTACAAAGTGCTGTTGACATGATGACCAAGCCATAATAGGGTTCAGTGACAGCCCAAATGAGGGTACGGGTAACCCTTCTAGAAAGGACAAAGAAGAGTCACAAAGTTGCAGTAGGCCTTAAAGCTGAAGGCCTTACAACAATGGTTTTCCAGCGCTAGCCAGTTTTGCTCAGTGATTAGAATGTCGGCCCGTGGACTGAGGTTGCGGGTTCGATTCCATCAAGGGCATGTACCTTGGTTGCAGAGGTGGGTGCGGGAAGCAACCAATTGCTGTTTCTCTCTGTCTTGCCCCCTCTTTTCCACTCTCTCTAAAAATCAATGGAAAAAATATCCTCTAATGAGGATTATAAAAAACAAAACAAAAAACAAACAAACACACTGGTTTTCCAGATAGACAAGGACAGAAGGGAATTCTGTTCAGTAACCGCTACTGAGCCCTCAATACCACCTAAAATTCTAATTGTTTCTTTTGTCAGTTCACTCTTTCATTCTGTGCAAAGACTATTTCAAACTTCCTAACCTCCTGCACTCTCTCATCTTCCATTTTCTACTATTTTACTCTCTGATAACTTCAGCTCATATTAAAAAAAAAAAGAAGAAGAAGAACATATGCTATATCAATCAGGGTTCTCCAAAGAAACAGAACCAATAGGATACAGGTATACAGAGATTTATTTTAAGGAATTGGCTCAAATGATTGTGTGGGGCTGGCAAGTCCAAATTCTGTAGGGTAGGTCAGAATGCTAGACACTCAAGTAGGAGTTAATGCCTCAATCTTGAGGCAGAATTTCTTCTCAGGGAAATCCCAGTTTTTACTTTTAAGGCCTCCAACTGATTGGGTGAAGCCCACTCACATTATTAAGAGTACTTTCTTTTACTTAAAGTCAATCAATTCTGCCCTAGCCGGTTTGGCTCAGTGGATAGAGTGTCGGCCTGCGGACTCAGGGGTCCCGGGTTCGATTCTGGTCAAGGGCATGTACCTTGGTTGCGGGCACATACCCAGTAGGGAGTGTGCAGGAGGCAGCCAATCGATGTTTTCCTTTCATCGATGTTTCTAACTCTATCCCTCTCCCTTCCTCTCTTTAAAAAATCAATAAAATATATTTTTTAAAAGGGAGATCAATTGTAGATTTTAATCACATCTATAAAATACCTTCACAGCAATACCTAGAATGGTGTTTGATGAAATAACTGGGTACTATAACTTAGTCAAGTTGACATGTAAAACTAACCATCACACATGCTATTTACAAGGTACTCTCAATCTCCCAAAACTATATCAAAAATTACTTAGATCTGCTTTCATCCATTCCATCCTCT